TACTAGAGGTTAGCATGCTTACGTGGGAGGCAGTGAGACGAGAAACGGCGCACTGTGCGACGGTGGTCAGGACGGCCGAGCATACAAGTGGATCCGCGTTGGCCAGTTTCTGCAGGAGCTCCTGACAACGGACCAGGAGGGAGAGCAGAGTGGGCAGAGAGCCCAGACTCTGCAGGTCCTCTATGTGATTCAGCAGGTTGACCAGGGTGTCCGCTAAATGACAGCCAATTGTGACGCTCTCCCTGGGCGCGAAACAGAGCTGGGGCGCGTTGGGTCTGCTATCGGTGATACTTTGACAACGATGGTTCAGCGCGAGGAGGATCAAATCCAAAATCACTGAAAGGGCCTATATGGGAGAGGGGCATAAACAGGTAATAGAGTACATCACAAAAAAGCGACTAAGTTAATCGCGAAGCCTGATTTACCCAGGTGATGAGCGGATTCAGCTCTGTAAGATCTAACAGACTCGGAAAGAAAATATGACCTGTGGGTAGGGTTGATGTGAACATCTCGGGAGTATTGCAACTTTGCCTTAATACAACAACTGTTGGTGCTCACAGTCAACCAAATAACTTTGTATGATTTTAGATAGAAAGGACTAGAACGAGGTAATGATATGAAAGGTATTCTAAAGTCAATTCAGGTGTAGTGAAATTGAAAAAAGTATGTCAGCTAGCAGAAATATAATCCGCAGGGAGTAAGTTGACCACTGCATGTCCAAAAAACTCGATAAAATTAGGACATCTTTGCCTTACAAAACGCTTTAATATGAATATTTCGCAAAATACGGGTTTCACCCCCGAAATTACTGCCTCGGTGGGACATTTAGAAATGCACAAAAATCATGGTAATGCGAGACGAACTAGAATACCTGTTAAGTAGAATAGTACAGTGTCACAAACAAAGCATTTTTAACAACGACTCAAGGCCCTCTCGTGGCTCAAAAGCTTCTCATTTTCATAAGGTGCATCAAAAATCGGCCAGTTATTACAATATTATTACGTACAAACTCGGTTCTATGCATTAAAGGATATATCATACTTCGGTAAACAGGAAGGCGAGTCACGCTTGGAAACTATTAATTCATTTATCGGGGCCATCCGATGCTTAAGGGACTTCGTCATCTTCTACCGCTGTTTCTCGCAGGCAGTCGATAAGATCTCCAGAGGAAAGCCCGGCATCGGCAAGTTTTAATGAACTAAAAAAGCGTGTTACATTTCTAACAATAGTAGAACCCCCTTTCCGCTTACTTTTCTACTTGAAGACACAATGGCGAATTGCGACAACTATTTTATTGGTTTGACTAGTTTACGTGTATTACA